TGGTCAGCAGTGGAATGTGAGGAATGCGTGAAACTACGCGATGCTGATGCTTCCAGTCGTCCCACTCCCAAAACATCTGGTAAGACATTATAAACTGGGTGGTTTGAGCCCTGAATGCTGATTGGCTGACAGCCGTGGTATATCAGACCGTATACCACAGGTATGACAAAACATTTATTTTTACTTCTCTAATTACTTTGGGTAACCAGTTTATAATAGCAATAAGGCACCTCAGAGGTTTGTTACAGTGGGGAAAAAAAGTATTTAGTCAGCCACCAATTGTGCAAGTTCTCCCACTTAAAAAGATGAGAGAGGCCTGTAATTTTCATCATAGGTACACGTCAACTATGACAGACAAAATGAGAAAATGTTTTCCAGAAAATCACATTGTAGGATTTTTTATGAATTTATTTGCAAATTATGGTGGAAAATAAGTATTTGGTCAATAACAAAAGTTTCTCAATACTTTGTTATATACCCTTTGTTGGCAATGACACAGGTCAAACGTTTTCTGTAAGTCTTCCCAAGGTTTTCACACACTGTTGCTGGTATTTTGGCCCATTCCTCCATGCAGATCTCCTCTAGAGCAGTGATGTTTTGGGGCTGTCGCTGGGCAACACAGACTTTCAACTCCCTCCAAAGATTTTCTATGGGGTTGAGATCTGGAGACTGGCTAGGCCACTCCAGGACCTTGAAATGCTTCTTACGAAGCCACTCCTTCGTTGCCCGGGCGGTGTGTTTGGGATCATTGTCATGCTGAAAGACCCAGCCACGTTTCATCTTCAATGCCCTTGCTGATGGAAGGAGGTTTTCACTCAAAATCTCACGATACATGGCCCCATTCATTCTTTCCTTTACACGGATCAGTCGTCCTGGTCCCTTTGCAGAAAAACAGCCCCAAAGCATGATGTTTCCACCCCCATGCTTCACAGTAGGTATGGTGTTCTTTGGATGCAACTCAGCATTCTTTGTCCTCCAAACACGACGAGTTGAGTTTTTACCAAAAAGTTATATTTTGGTTTCATCTGACCATATGACATTCTCCCAATCCTCTTCTGGATCATCCAAATGCACTCTAGCAAACTTCGGACATGTACTGGCTTAAGCAGGGGGACACGTCTGGCACTGCAGGATTTGAGTCCCTGGCGGCGTAGTGTGTTACTGATGGTAGGCTTTGTTACTTTGGTCCCAGCTCTCTGCAGGTCATTCACTAGGTCCCCCCGTGTGGTTCTGGGATTTCTGCTCACCGTTCTTGTGATAATTTTGACCCCACGGGGTGAGATCTTGCGTGGAGCCCCAGATCGAGGGAGATTATCAGTGGTCTTGTATGTCTTCCATTTCCTAATAATTGCTCCCACAGTTGATTTCTTCAAACCAAGCTGCTTACCTATTGCAGATTCAGTCTTCCCAGCCTGGTGCAGGTCTACAATTTTATTTCTGGTGTCCTTTGACAGCTCTTTGGTCTTGGCCATAGTGGAGTTTGGAGTGTGACTGTTTGAGGTTGTGGACAGGTGTCTTTTATACTGATAACAAGTTCAAACAGGTGCCATTAATACAGGTAACGAGTGGAGGACAGAGGAGCCTCTTAAAGAAGAAGTTACAGGTCTGTGAGAGCCAGAAATCTTGCTTGTTTGTAGGTGACCAAATACTTATTTTCCACCATAATTTGCAAATAAATTCATTAAAAATCCTACAATGTGATTTTCTGGAGAAAAAAAATCTCAATTTGTCTGTCATGAGATGGCGGCAGGTAGCTTAGTGGGTAAGAGCGTTGTGCCAGTAACCGAAAGGTCGCTGGTTCTAATCCCCGAGCCGACTAGGTGAAAAATCTGTCGATGTGCCCTTAAGCAAGGCACTTAACCCTAATTGCTCCTGTAAGTCGCTCTGGATAAGAGCGTCTGCTAAATGACTAAAATGTATATGTAAATGTAAAATATGTCATAGTTGAGGTGTACCTATGATGAAAATTACAGGCCTCTCTCATCTTTTTAAGTGGGAGAACTTGCACAATTGGTGGCTGACTAAATACTTTTCCCCCCCACTGTATATATGGGCAATATACCATGGCTAAGGACTGTGTCCAGGCACTCCGCGTTGTGTCGTTCATTAGAACAGCCCTTAGCCGTGGTATATTGGCCATATACCACACCGCCTCGGGCCTTATTGCTTAAATATACCATAGCCGCATCATTTTCAAACGTCATCCCATATGACAAGAAAAGTTTGAGGTGGAAGGAGATAAGATGCGGTGACCTATCACAAATATATGGTCCCCATCTATACAGTGGAGAAGCCTGGCTTCAAAAAGCTGCTAAACACAATTGACCCCAAATATCAGCTACCAAGCGGCAAGTATTTTGTGGAAGAAGCATTGCCACAGTTATCCATTGCTACCCGCCAAAGAGTCACCGAGAAGCTGGCTAATGTGTCTTACTTTTCCAACACAACCAATCTATGGTGGAGCAGAACGTCGGCGCCATACCTAAGCTTGACAGTCCACTATATAGATGAAGAATGGACATTGCTAAATGTATCCCTCCAGACATCATACTTCTCCAATGACCATACCAGTGAAATAATAGCCCAGGGTCTCAAAGACGCACGAAGACAGACAGATGTGCATGACAACCGACAGCCGGAGCAACATGATAAAAGCATTGCCCTTGAACAAGTGGACCCCCCTGCAGTGCTTCGGACACAGGCTTCACCTTGCCATCGGTATGTGTGCCATTACATAATTAAAATGCATTCAAAAAATGAATCTTCAGACCAGCTGTAATCTTCTTCTTTTTTTACCTTAGTAGCTGGTTGTAATTCTACCAATCCAATAGCAAATTAACCACAGGCATGTTTAAATAATAACAACAATATGGACTAAATGTCATTGTTTGATTTAAATACATTTTCAATCAAAACGATTAAATATGTAAACATATAGGCCTATGCAAACAGCTACAATGGTCAAACATTACTAAACAATACAATTGACCAGTGTTTGTGTGTTCCTTCTTGTAGTAGTAATAATAATAATAATAATAATATTATGCAGGGTAAAAGTTTTTGCCAATATGTTTTCTTTGTCAAATAGTAATAAGGCTCATCAGGAAATGTTACATCACGATGTGTGGGAATGCTGTATTTGTCACATTACTGAAAATGGTGCCATTCTAAATATTATTTATTTGGTTCTTCCTTTATTTTTATTTTTTACAGAGAATGGTGTGAAAGACCCTCGGATTGACCGTGCCATCGGCATATGCAAGAAGGTTGTCAGCAGCTTCTCCTTCAGCTGGAAGAAGAGGAGATATATGGTTTTGGTTCAGGCTGAGCTCAGTCTACCCACTCACCAGCTCATCACAGAGGCCCCAACCAGGTGAGGTTCAAGACAGAAGATGGTTGAACGAGTCCTGGAGCAGGAGAAGGCCATAGCCTGGGTCCTGGGCTCAGAGAAGAAAAGCAGGCCCAGCTGGTAGGATATCGACGGTTTGGAGTCAGTGAACAAAGCCATAAGCCCACCTCAAGAATTCACTGATGCGCTGTCTGGTGAGGACTACGTTAGCGTCTCTTACCTCAAGCCTGTGCTACATCAGTTCAACACCAGCCTCACGCAGCCAGAGGAGGATGAGAACGATCTCACAAAACAAATCAAGAGCGCCACACTGGAGTATCTAAATGACAAGTACGCTGACTCTGCCACAGATGACCTCCAGGATATGGCCTCACTGATGGATCCCTGGTTCAGGACAACATACATAGCAGACGACAAGGTTGAGGGCATCAAACAAGTTGTTTTGGAGCTCCAGTCTCTGCTAGCTGAGAAAAGCACACCTCAGCCTGGCATAGCTGTGCATGTGCGCCAAGAAGAAGCTGAACCTGTTGCTAAGAAGAGCAAGAAGATAGTGCCGTCTGCCTCCCAGTCAGAGGAGGACACCATCAAAACTAAGCAGTCAAGCTACTTGATGTCCCCTGACACAAACCCAGACACAGACCCACTTGAGTGGTGGAAGCTCCATGAGGCCAACTTCCCTAGATTTAGCAATCTTGCAAAGAAGTGCCTATACATTCCTGCTACAAGTGCTCCTTCGGAGAAGGTCTTCAGCACAGGTGAGAACATTAACGTGCCATTTTTTTTTTTATATTACTTTTAGGCCATATCGCCCAGCCCTACTGTGGCCTATGTGCGAGGCAGATTCTCAAAAAGATCTGACGTTGATATGGCATTATAGGAGGACTGAGTAGTTTGGAGGAGAGTGTCTTTGGTAATCGGACGAGGGGCGCTCTATGAAAATGGGGATGGATAGCCTACTTGAACAAGTGAAATGCAGGTATGTGAATCATGAAAAAGCATGAGGGCAAAACCCCTAAAATATTTCAAAGCACTCGCAGTAGACCATTTAAACCCTCTTTATTTATAGGCTACTTTTGGCTAATGGCCAGGATAAAGACACCTATGCGATGCTGCTAAAGCAGCCTTGATTAAGGGGGGGGGGGGGGGTAGGCTATGCTTGGATTTTAATAAAATTAAATGAAATGGGGGGAAACCAATCGTTTTTTAATCTTTCTAAATACGAGATTCACCAGCATCAAAAGGCACTGTGCGTCATGGCTGGATAGGCTGTGCTTCATCTCTCAAAATCCATGCCATTATCAACTGCGTTACCGTTAATAAGACCTGCTTTTTGAGGGTCTTAAAACGTCCCATTAACGCTGCATGAAATGGTCACTTTTGCGCTTGTTTTTAAGGACACACCTCCCAAGCTGATGTTAAACGGGTAAATTGCCAAACCTGGCGTTAAGGCTGGAAAATGCCACCGCCAGTTTTGCATGACGAAATTGCAAACTAACAAGAGCTTGACACTTGCGCCAGTTGCAAATAGAGGCCTGAATGAATGGAAAACAGGCTGTAGTATGAAACCCTAGAATGTTGAACCTTACAGAGTCTACTTCCACATTAAGCTAGGGACTGTAGGTGAGGCAGTGTTATATAGGTGAGGCGTACCGTGAGGGGTGGAGAAGAGGCTCAGGAGGATGATATGTTTAGCCCAGAGACCATGTTCAGTCAGAACTCTCACAGCCTCGATCACTGTGTTACCTGTACCTAAAGGCAGAACATATGTATATTAGATGAGCATAAACACAGGACAGACATCACAGTGACTTGACTTGACAGAGGAACAGGCAACATTTAATGAAGTCTTGCCTTGTGTGATCGTTACTATGACTAATCTGCTGCTACTTTCTATAAAGTAACAAAATGTCATTTTGATCTGTCTCAAGGCAGGTTTTCATCCTCCCAGAGAGGGATGCTAGTTAGTGGACAAAAAGATGACCCTTACTTCACTCTCAGTGGCTCCATTTGGCCTATTCATCATTTTCATTGCCGTCCAGTGAGCTCTTTATGGTTTCCCTCAGAAACGTATAATTATCTGCCTGGGGTAAATGATGCTGAAAAATATGCAGCATGCTACCTACCAAGGTCATTTTCAGAGCCGAATAAAGGACACCTTCCCACAATTATCTTAGCTGGAAGATGTAATTTAACAGAAATCGTGTTGCAAAGAGCAAATCAAGTGGAAAAGTCTCACTATCAAGTGTTCTTCATAAAAACAGGGGATGCCCATGACTACTACACTAATGCCTTGCTAACGGGAGCAATTTAGTCCTCATTTCTGGTTCATTCAAAAAGTGACTCCAACAGCACAGTTCCTTGGGCCCAGGGCAGAGCGACACTTCACCTGAACTCTTTGTCCTGAAGAGGAGTAAGTACTGTATTGAGAGTCTGTTGGTGCTTTTCCACTGCGGGGTTTTAAAACCGGTGCTTGGCCTACAGACATGTAAAGACTTTTGCGTTTACATGTGTGTAACCCCCCTGCACTGTGATTAAGGATGGGGAATGTGAGTACTACTCTCTCCATACTCACTGAGAATAGGGTACATGATGCTCCATACTCACTGAGAATGGGGTACATGATGCTGCATACTCACTGAGAATGGGCTACATGATGATACATACTCACTGAGAATGGGGTACATGATTATCCATACTCACTGAGAATGGGGTACATTAGAAGGACTTTCCTCCTGTTGATGTCTGGGGGGAACTTGGCGTAGTAAACTTTGGCCTTCTGGGTGTCCTCGTCACTCTGGATGAGGATCTTACCAATACGGATGGACCGGCAGCAGTCTCTGAGGCCCTGCTCCATGGCCTCACCTACGCGCGCACACCGCAATGGATAGATGTTGAATTCCACTCAGTTCATTCAAATGTAATTCATACAAGACGTAGTAATGATGAGCAACTGATAAGTCAAACAGTGAGTGAATAGTACTAATTATGTCAGGTGCTTATAGGCAAATCCACCAGCCAGGGATTCTAGTCAGACCAATTCAGATGTATTTTTCCTTAAATCTCCTATATAATCAGTGTCTTACCGCTTCTCATAATGCTGACACCGCAGTTGCCTTTCTCAAACTTCACACCATCATATTTATGCCCTGAAGGAAGAGTTGGGAGAGAGAGAGAGAGAGAGATTAAAATAGTCAGTTCTGTTCTTGGTGAGAAATGTTACAGTAATCCTGTAATGTATAGTATTTGCCCAATTTCTATCATTTCAAACTAATTTCTAACCTGTGGGAGTGGTCACTGTACACTCGCTGTATGGCAGCTGATTGAGTCCCTCTTCAACCACTAGTCTAATCTGTAGAAAAACAGAGTGGGTCAAAACAATAGTGTGCATTATACAAATGAGTCATTAAATGTAGAAAAAAATAATAATAATGAAACACACTACCGTTCAAAAGTTTGGGGTCACTTCGAAATGTTCTTGTTTTCCAAAGAAAAGCAATTTTTTTGTCCATTAAAATAACATCAAATTGATCAGAAATACAGTGTAGACATTGTTAATGTTGTAAATGGCTATTGTAGCTGGAAACGGCTGATTTTTAATGGAATATCTACATAGGCGTACAGAGGCCCATTATCAGCAACCATCAGTCCTGTGTTCCAATGGCACGTTGTGTTTGCTAATCTAAGTTTATCATTTTAAAAGGCTAATTGATCATTAGAAAACCCTTTTGCAATTATGTTAGCACAGCTGAAAACTGTTGTGCTGATTAAAGAAGCAATAAAACTGGCCTTCTTGAGACTAGTTGAGTATCTGGAGCATCAGCAATTGTGGGTTCGATTACAGGCTCAATATGGCCAGAAACAAATAACTTTCTTCTGAAACTCAGTCTATTCTTGTTCTGAGAAATGAAGGCTATGCCATGCGAGAAATTGCCAAGAAACGGAAGATCTCGTACAACGCTGTGTACTACTCCCTTCACAGAACAGCGCAAACTGGCTCTAACCAGAATAGAAAGAGGAGTGGGAGGCCCCGGTGCACAACTGAGCAAGAGGACAAATACATTAGTGTGTTAGTTTGAGAAACAGACGCCTCACAGGTCCTCAACTGGCAGCTTCATTAAATAGTACCCACAAAACACCAGTCTCAACGTCAACAGTGACGAGGCGACTCCGGGATGCTGACCTAGGCAGAGTTGCAAAGACAAAGTCCATTTGGTCTACGTCTCACAAATGTTCTTCTTTGTGATCCGAAGACCTCAAACTTCGATTCGTCTGTCCATAACTTTTTTCCAATCTTCCTCTGTCCAGTGTCTGTGTTCTTTTGCCCATCTTAATCTTTTATTTTTATTGGCCAGCCTGAGATATGGCTTTTTCTTTGCAACTCTGCCTAGAAGGTCAGCATTCCGGAGTCGGCTCGTCACTGTTGACGTTGAGACTGGTGTTTTGCGGGTACTATTTAATGAAGCTGCCAGTTGAGGACCTGTGAGGCAGCGTTGTACGAGATCTTCAGTTTCTTCGCAATTTCTTGCATGGCATAGCCTTCATTTCTCAGAACAAGAATAGATTGATGAGTTTCAGAAGAAAGTTATTTGTTTCTGGCCATTTTGAGCCTGTAATCGAACCCACAATTGCTGATGCTCCAGATACTCAACTAGTCCTCTGTAGCTCAGCTGGTAGAGCACGGTGCTTGTAACACCAAGGTAGTGGGTTCGATCCCCGGGACCACCCATACACAAAAATGTATGCGCGCATGACTAAGTCGCTTTGGATAAAAGCGTTTGCTAAATGGCATATTATTATTGTTATAGTCTCAATAAGGCCAATTTTATTGCTTCTTTAATCAGCACAACAGTATTCAGCTGTGCTAACATAATTGCAAAAGGGTTTTCTAATTATCAATTAGCCTTTTAAAATGTAAACTTGGATTAGCAAACACAACGTGCCATTGGAACACAGGACTGATGGTTGCTGATAATGGGCCTCTGTACGCCTATGTAGATATTCTATAAAAAATCTGCCGATTTCAGCTACAATAGCCATTTACAACATTAACAATGTCTACACTGTATTTCTGATCAATTTGATGTTATTTTAATGGACAAAAAAATGTAAGTGACCCCAAACTTTTGAACGGTAGTGTATATATTAAAGACATGCTCCGGAACTTTGGCGACAACTAAGTATTTTTTAAACATCCCCCTTTGGGCTGGATGTGTCAATGTGTAGTTCATACATCCATAATCTATTAACAGAATTACTGTCTTACCTCAATTAGACACGAAATCCCTAGTTTGAAAGCAATGTTTTTCTGGAAGCTGTGCTGCGCCATTTTCCCTACATTTTCCCCAATGTGGGCCAGCCCCCTAGCAATTAGAGTTCTAGCCAATCAACTTCAGCCCCTCACCATTTGAGTGTCAGCTAGCAAGATACACAGACAGCAGAGCAATGACGTGGTGCACATCACTCTTTATGCGATGCGCACTGCAGAGAACACCGGAAGAAGAATGATCACTGAATTATCACAGTAAAGGTTGTTTATGTGTCAATTAATCCCATAAGGGATGGGTTGCCAACAAATGTTTAATTCATTTATACAGTGCCTTCAGAAAGTATTCATACCCCTTGACATTATTTTTTAAATGACTACCTCATCTCTGTACTCCACACATACAATTAATTATCTGTAAGGTCCCTCAGTCGAGCAGTGAATTTCAAACACAGATTCAACCACAAAGACCAGGGAGGTTTTCCAATGCCTCGCAAAGGGCACCTATTGGTAAATAGTTAAAAAAACAAAAAAGCAGATTGAATATTCCTTTGAACATGGTGAAGTTATTAATTACACTTTGGATGGTGCATCAATACACCCAGTCACTACAATGATACATGCTTCCTTCCTAACTCAGTTTCCGGAGAGGAAGGAAACCGCTCAGGGATTTCACCATAAGTCCAATGGTGACTTTAAAACTTTGGATGGACCAACAACATTGTAGTTACTACACAATACTAACCTAATTGACAGAGTGAAAAGAAGGAAGCCTGTACAGAATATGCATCCTGTTTGCAACAAGGCACAAAAGTAATGCTGCAAAAAATTTAGCAAAGCAATACCCTTCTTGTCCTGAATACGAAGTTTTATGTTTGGGGCAAATCCAATACAACACATTACTGAGTACCACTCTATATTTTCAAGCATAGTGGTAGCTGATCAACAACCAATTTGACAGAGCTTGAAGAATTTTGAAAAGAATAATGGGCAAATGTTGCACAATCCAGGTGTGGAAGGCTCTTAGAGACTTACCCAGAAAGACTCACAGCTGTAATCGCTGCCAAAAATGTCAAAGTATTGACTCAGGGGTGTGACTACTTATGTAAATGAGATATTTCTGTATTTCATTTTCTATAAATTGGCAAAAATGTCTAAAAACATGTTTTCACTTCGTCATTATTGGGTATTGTGTGTAGATGGGTGAGAAAAAAAATGAATTTAATACATGTTTAATTAAGGCTGTAACACAACAAAATGTGGAATAAGTCAAGGGGTATGCATACTTTCTGAAGGCACTGTATTATGTACAGTCGTGGTCAAAAGTTGAGAGAATGACACAAGTATTGGTCTACACAAAGTTTGCTGCTTCAGTGTTTTTAGATATTTTTGTCAGTTGTTACTATGGTATACTGAAGTATAATTACAACATTCCATAAGTGTCAAAGGCTTTTATTGACAATTACATTAAGTTTATGCAAAGAGTCAATATTTGCAGTGTTGACCCTTCTTTTTCAAGACCTCTGCAATCCGCCCTGGCATGCTGTCAACTTCTGGGCCACATCCTGACTGATGGCAGCCCATTCTTGCATAATCAATGCTTGGAGTTTGTGGGTTTTTGTTTGTCCTCCTGCCTCTTGAGGATTGACCACAAGTTCTCAATGGGATTAAGGTCTGGGGAGTTTCCTGGCCATGGACCCAAAATGTTGATGTTTTGTTCCCCAAGCCACTTTGTTATCACTTTTGCCTTATGGCAAGGTGCTCCATCATGCTGGAAAAGGCATTGTTCGTCACCAAACTGTTCTTGGATGGTTGGGAGAAGTTGCTCTCGGAGGATGTGTTGGTACCATTCTTTATTCATAGCTGTGTTCTTGGGCAAAATTGTGAGTGAGCCCACTCCCTTGGCTGAGAAGCAACCCCACACATGAATGGTCTCAAGATGCTTTACTGTTGGCATGACACAGGACTGATGGTAGCGCTCACCTTGTCTTCTCCGGACAAGCTTTTTTCCGGATGCCCCAAACAATCGGAAAGGGAATTCATCAGAGAAAATGACTTTACCCCAGTCCTCAGCAGTCCAATCCCTGTACATTTTGCAGAATATCAGTCTGTCCCTGATATTTTTCCTGGAGAGAAGTGGCTTCCTCGCTGCCATTCTTTACACCAGGCCATCCTCCAAAAGTATTCACCTCACTGTGCGTGCAGATGCACTCACACCTGCCTACTGCCATTCCTGAGCAAGCTCTGCACTGGTGGTGCCCCGATCCCGCAGCTGAATCAACTTTAGGAGACGGTCCTGGCGCTTGCTGGACTTTCTTGGGCTCCCTGAAGCCTTCTTCACAACAATTGAACCTCTGTCCTTGAAGTTCTTGATGATCCGATAAATGGTTGATTTAGGTGCAATCTTACTTGCAGCAATATCCTTGCCTGTGAAGCCCTTTTTGTGCAAAGCAATGATGACGGCACGTGTTTCCTTGCAGGTAACCATGGTTAACAGAGGAAGAACAATGATTTCAAGCACCACCCTCCTTTTAAAGCTTCCAGCTTGTTATTCTAACTCAATCAGCATGATAGAGTGATCTCCAGCCTTGTCCTCGTCAACACTCTCACCTGTGTTAACGAGAAAATCACTGACATGATGTCAGCTGGTCCTTTTGTGGCAGGGCTGAAATGCAGTGGAAATGTTTTTTGGGGATTAAGTTCATTTTCATGGCAAAGAAGGACTTTGCAATTAATTGCAATTCATCTGATCACTCTTCATAGCATTCTGGAGTATATGCAAATTGCCATCATATAAACTGAGGCAGCAGACTTTGTGAAAATTAATATTTGTGTCATTCTCAAAACTTTTGACCACGACTGTACATAGCTACCTCTACCCCTGCACATCTACTCTTAAAACATGTTTTCACTGTCATTATGGGGTATTGTGTGTGTAGATGGGTGAGAGAAAAAAAGATATTTAATCCATTTTGAATTCAGGTTATAACAACAAAATGTGGAATAAATCAAGGGGTATGAATGGTTTCTGAAGGCACTGTATCTGCACATATGTGACATATTACGACATTTTCGGGGACCACTTT